TTTCAGCACCTACAAAAAAATCACATGAACCTCACTGCAATCCGTAACATCTGAGTTAGGTTCCTAGGCTCCTATACAATGAATGGTGAAAGATAGGCACCTAATAACAGAACCCCACTAACGTGTTAGGTCAGAAGCCACATTGGGATTGGTCCTGTCTTGAGCAGGGGGCTGTACTTGATGACCTCCTGAGGTCTCTTCCAGCTCTATGATTCTAAACTAGCCACGGTGAGATACCAATCAGAGTGGTATGAGCTAACCTTTCCCCTCCCCTCAGAAATAGGTGCTTATGTCCATGCTGCAGGGAGGTGTTTAAGTCAGCCATGAACAGGAGCCTGCCCCCTGGAGTAAGGCAGCTTAGGCATCTAAATATCTCACTCTACATAAAACAGCCCAAAGAGGAAGCGCCACTGCCTGCATCCACCTTACAAATTTTAGGCCAGAGTTTAGAGCACTTGCCTGGGAAGTAGGAGACCCAGCTTTAATTTCCCCTTCTCTTTCAGAAGGGGAGAAAGCATTTGAATAGGGGGAGCTCCCACCAGACAACTCTAACCACTGAGCAGTTCTAGCATAGGGCTGTCTGAGGGTCTCTTAGCAATGCTGGTGCACTATGGATAAGTAATGAGTGGGTTATTGAAACGGGGGCCTAGACCAGGATCTTCTTCTTCCTAGTTGTGTGCCAAAGCCACTGGACCACAGAGTTGTTTTCACAATGACTCGTTCTCTGTCCCAATGACTTTTCCACTGTGGATAAATACATCCTACTCAGACTGTTAATGTAGGTGCCCAAATCCGTATGAATAGGATCTAAACTTTGATATGTAAGGCCAAATCCACAAAATGTGCCTAATTCCCATCTAAATCAATGGAAGTTAGATGCCTGAGACTCAGTTTTTAAAATTAGGTCTAATTGCCCAATTTTCTGAAGTGCTGAGCATCTGTGGTTAATGGGAGCAACAAGTGCCCACCACTCCTGAAAGTCAGAACAGTTTTTCTTTAAAAAAAACCCCCAGCAAGGTATCCGTTTTCTTTTCTCTTTGGAACTCTTCTATCATTTGAATTTACAAATATTTGTGTTGAGAGGAATAACAACATAGGTGGTGGAGAGACTATTGTATTGTTTAACACCTACCTGGCTGCTTTTCTCTCAGCCATGAAGGCTGGAAACTTATGTTTGGGAGATTTGAGGGGCAGGGGGTTGTGTGTGCGCTTTTTTTAAAATAAAAGCTGAAGTTCTCTAATGATTCCATAAGTTGGATTAAAAAAAACCCACAGCAAATATCACAAGAGTTGGCACCACTGACATTGGGTATTCATTTATTATTTGTGCTACGGTAGCATCTAGAGACCAGCTGAGTCTGGAGCCCCTTTGGACTAGGCGCTACATAAATACAAAGAGAATGATAGTACCCGCCCTGGACAGCTTACAGTGTGAATAGACAAGGCAGAAGGAAAACAGAGGCACAGAAAAGTTGCAGGGGCTTGCCCATGGTCACACAGCATAGAATAGCTTCCCATCACTCTCGGGCATGTGCTCAGACCTCACTGCCTTCTCATTTAATATGATTTTCCTTGACTGGCCGGTTTTTGGGCCAGACTCTATAACCTGTTCTGCATGGCTACATCTAGACTGGCCCCTTCTCCGGAAGAGGCATGCAAGGCAGGCAAGTCAGAATAGGGAAATCCGCGGGGGATTTAAATATCCCCCGCGGATTTCCCTATTCTGACTTGCCTGCCTTGCATGCCTCTTCCGGAGAAGGGGCCAGTCTAGATGTAGCCATGCAGAACAGGTTATAGAGTCTGGCCCAAAAACCGGCCAGTCAAGGAAAATCATATTAAATGAGAAGGCAGTGAGGTCTGAGCACATGCCCGAGAGTGATGGGAAGCTATTCTATGCTGTGTGACCATGGGCAAGCCCCTGCAACTTTTCTGTGCCTCTGTTTTCCTTCTGCCTTGTCTATTCACACTGTAAGCTGTCCAGGGCGGGTACTATCATTCTCTTTGTATTTATGTAGCGCCTAGTCCAAAGGGGCTCCAGACTCAGCTGGTCTCTAGATGCTACCGTAGCACAAATAAAGAGCGCCCCTCAGCTTGGGTGGAACATCTTGAAAGACCAAGGCCTTATTTTAAACTTTTCTTGCAAATGGCTCTTGATCATGGTAACAGCTGTTGTGATTCCATGGAGGGTTTTCTTTACTCTTTAATGGCCACGATCTCCTGTTACGTCCAAATGTTCTGAAGCAAAGCTGCCTGCCCCATGGCATGTGTGAAATTGGGTAGGATAAGTGATTAGGAGAGTGAAGAGGCAACAGATAGTGGAGGCAAACAGAGCTGAAAGAAAAGGGAACTGAGAAGAGAAGAATAATAGAACCTCTACTTTACAGGTTAGAAAAGAATTAAATAAATTACACTAGCAGTCAGGACAGAGATCTGTGCTTTTGTGAGTCATTCTTCAAAGACAGTAAAGAGACAAGGTGGGTGAGGTAATAGGTCTTTTATTGGATCAATGTCTGTTGGTGAGAGACACAGGCTTTGTGGCTAGTGAATAAGAAAACAAGAACTTCTGGCATCCCTATTAAAGGAAATATGCAGACAAACATCAGCTCTGCATATTGTTAACATCAAAAGCTGGCATTACCATTGTGATGGGCTGGACTAGGCTCCAATGCCCCCTACAGGAGGCTTGAGGCCTTGCTGCATCCCATCCCAGCAGGAGGAGCGGAGAAGAAGTCCTCCAGGCACTATAGAGTGGCTGTGTCTGTGGCAGCCAATCAGGACCCAGCAGAGGGGTATAAAAGAAGCTGGAGGGCTGGGGCCTGGCAGTTCCCTTCAGGAGCTCGACCCAGCCAGGTCTATACACTGAGTGGGAGGGAGATCAGCACTACGGCTAGCTCCTAATGTGCACTGAACCTAGATCCGGGTAAGAACCAGACCCAGTGGCCAACTACCAGCCACAAGCGGAGACACACTAGCACCGTGGACAGGGCTAGTCAGGCCCTTGTTCCAAGACTTTGAGGGTGACTGGACAACCCTGAAAGGACCCTGCATGGTGCCATTTGGATGCAGTAGGATGCTCACCAGTGGGTGGACCCATTACAACCATTTCCTAGATACCCCAGTTCCTGGGGGCTGTCAGTGCCTGGCTGAAGAATAGCGGACAGAAAATGAAGCAAGACAAATGGAGGTTATGCTGTGGGAAGAGACATGTGCTTGAAATAACTGGTCACATCCATAACTTCACCTCCATCGAGGAACTCAGAACTACAATTGTTAAAACAGTCTACAGCCTTGGAGTCTCTCTTGACTCCTCACTAATTCAGAATATTCCTGGTGTTGGAACATCTCTAGTATCCACTATCGACTAGCAAACTGGTTCTGCTCTCCCATATCCCACTTTAATGTAGGAACATAGGACTGGAAGAGACCTCCAGGGTCCTTGACTCCAGTTCCCTGCTGGTACAGGCCAACCCTGTCATCTCATTCCTTTTTTAAATTTAACAAGCTCTGTCTGATTTTGGCTATGCTTCTCCATGATCTCTAGTTGTTGAAGATAGCAAGTCATTACACCTAGGCATCTAGGATTGATCTAATAAGAGCAGCAGTGACAACAAACACCAATTCAGCCAGCAGACCCAAGTGTAAACAAAGTGGTTTGATGGTACACTGCAACTGTCAGTCACAAAGATGAAGGCTTGTGAGCATAATGGGCATAGCTTGACCACTGGCTGTTCCACCACTCTGGAACTCTCAGAAAACATAAAAAAGGCCATGAATTTCCACCCTACAGAACAAAATACAGAAGTCAGCTAGTAACGTTGGTTTCTGTAAACAGGGGTGAAAGTAACTTAAAATTTCATACAGGTACTGTCCTATTGCAACTCGGGACCCTGACAGCTCTTTAAATAGCTCTCTGCTGGCTTTTGCTGCAGCTCAGCTAGCTCTTGGAGAGCCGTGCACAAGGGTGCACCTTACTTTCACCTCTGTCTATAAATAAACAAACATATGGAAGGGAGAGAAACTTTTGTTATTTTTAAAGTGTAAGGCATAGCAAGTTAACAAGTACAGGATAAAATATTTTTGGATGAGGCCTTAAATCTCTTCTTGTGTAGGTTACCAGGAGCTCTGAGGCTAGTTCTACTTGCCGTCTTCTTTGGACAGTTCCATGACTCAAATTATTTTACAAATTCTATTTCCCATTAATGTTGATAGTTTTGTTTCTCACTTATCCTGATCAATGGACCATTCAGATGAAGGAACAAATGCTTCAGTGCTTTCAAAGATAGGGTAGAATTTCCTGGTTTTTGAGCCATATTCAGCTGCATGTAAAGAATTTTGTGGCTTGTGGAAGTGTCAGTTAGAGACACATTGAACAGCCTTTGCATACTGTGTAATTCTTCATTTCTGTAAAGCCGAGATTTTGTTTCTAGGCCCACGCCTTATTTGGAATCTCACTGGTTTACAGACATACTGTTCATTCACACACCAGAGTCAACAGGGGATATATTCTAATGGATTTTTTCAGCAGTACAGTCTCCTGATCATTCGTCTGCCTGGCAGTCTGGAAAATTCCATATTAATGCAAGTATTAAAATCAAATGAAGATGTGATCATTCTTAGCACTTAAATAGCACTTATCATATATAGGTTTCAAAGCAGTTCACCAAGGTAAGCATCATCTACTTTTTACAGGTGAAAAAGACAATGGCACAGAGCAGAGAAGGTACTTGCCCAAGGCAGATAGTAGGGAATGGAACAGAACCAAGGTCTATTAACGCTCAGCCCTGGCCTTAAACCACTAGACCACAACTGTCCCTCACCAGTTACTGTTTTGGAGTCAATACTTAGATGGCTAACAATGCAATGTGCATCCTTACAAAAAGGATAGTGCATGGAATACTTACTCTTAAGCAAATGGAGAAATATAAACCTCCTTTAATGTATAGCAATAATTCTGGTTCTTTAGAGGAAACACTAGATGAATCTCAAAGACTGAACCTTCATAAAGTTTGAAATGCAGAGTTTATTTAGTAGGCACATCATTGCTTTAGTAGCATTGAGTTGTACAAGTCACAACCTCACCATTTGTGAATGTTTTATTTGGTTACATTGCATTTTTCAGTGTCTGTTAGGTTTCAAGTAAAAAGTGATCACTTTACTTCTCGACAGTTTGTCAAGATGGAAACATGACTCCAGTAAAACAAACTAGCATACAGCAGCAGAACTGTCATTCAACGGAAGTGAAAAACTATAATCTGAATTTTGTATGTGACATACAGTTAAAACTGCAACACAACCATACTCAAATAGATCACATAGCATTTTGCATCATATGGGATTATGCAGGTTGCTCAACAATAAAATAAAGAACTGGATTTCACAGAGGGAAAACAAAATCTATTCAAAATACAATTGACATGAATTAGCTTCCATACTATTTCCTGTTGATGAAAGTTGTGCTCTCTCTGGCCATGTCTACACAGCAGCATTATTTCAGAATAACTGATGTTACTCCGAAATAACATAGTCCACGTCCACACTATAAGCAGTTATTTCGACATAGTTTCCAAATAATGTCGAGCTGGAGGACATCTTACTTCAACTCCTGTAACTCTCATTTTACGAGGAGTAAGGGAAATCGGAGGAAGAATGCTCTCAGACTTCCTGCTGTGTAGACAGCGTCAAAAGCCGAAATAAGATATTTTGACTTAAGCTATGCAATTGACGTAGCTCAAGTTGTATAGCTTATTTTGGCTTTAGCCCTGCTGTGTAGACGTGCCCTCAGATGCAAAGTAAAAGGCTTAAAAGTACTGCTTATAGATTTATTATAAGATATTACAATTGTAATGTATTATGAGTTTGCAGCATGATGCTTTTGATATTACAGCTTTGTGTTAATAAAATACCATATTTAAAACATAAAAAATGCAGTTTGGGATTATTTTAGTGATTATGTATTTTACTTGAATGGTATTTTTCTTCTCTGAAAAGTTGTATTTTTATTTTATTAAACTCCACCCAGGGAAGCATATAAACCACAACATCTGTAAAGTAATATTTTTATATGAAAGAAAAAAGTATGACTTCAAACATAGAGCTCTATGACCATAATAAAAGCAGCATAGATTAAATGAAGAAATTTTTGAAAATGGCAAAATATTTTGTTAGTTTGAATAATTTTTATTTTCACGAGCTTTAATTTCTTTTTTCTGAATGGGTCACACATTTAATACTTTTATTTTCAAATTAGTGATTCACCTTTTCTTTAAAATACAGTTTAATAATATATGCCAGATAAACTAATGCCATTAATGCAGAAACCTACAAATGGTGCACACTGAAATATATGCTAGTTATTTGCATTCCTAACATTTGACCCTGAATGTATCTACTATATTTGTAAAAATCATTTTAAAATCATCTTGTCAATGCTTTCAAGAAGCAAACTGGGAGACCAGGGTTGTTGTTTTTCCAATTTGAATACAATGGCATACAATGAGTACCATCAGTTATTGAATCACAGGTCACTTTCTCCATACAATGCTGATGAAAATGAGGTATAATCCAGGGCTCCAGGAACAGCACCTGGTCCAGAATAGGGAGGCATCTTTCTGATGCAATACTGAGCTTTTTCAGCAGGCAGTTCTCTCTGCAGCTCTTCTGCAAGAATATAAGGCTGAAAAAGAAATATTTTTAAAAAACTCAACTATGGAACAGATTATTTAACAGATTTTTGTTTTTGTGTCTTACAGAACTAAGATTAATAAGCTAGAACGTCCTGCTTGTTTTTCCAAATCCAAGAATATTTATTTATTTTATTTAAAAATATTTTTACCCTGCCTCTCTATTTAAAATATTCGAGCTGGCTTATAACGTTTTTAAAAACACAATATATAAAAAAAGTAAAATACAAGACCTCAAGGGGGGACATAAAACCTGCTGAGTGATGTTCACTTTGATCCACTGTCACCTCCAGATCTCTTTCACACAGTACTCCTTCCTGGGCAACCATTTCCCATTTTTTACTTTGCGTTTCATCTATTTACTTCAGGCCATTTCTCCAATTTGTCCAGACCATTCTGAATTTTAATCCTAGCCTCCGAAATATTTGTAAATATTATCCACAAATTTTATATGTGTACTTTCTATGCCTTTATCTATGTTGAGCTGTAACATCAACCATGAACTGGTGGGACTACCGCAGCGCTACTCAACACGCGGCTTACAGGCCACATGTGGCCCGCAGTCCATTTGTTTGCGGCCTGTGGTGCGGTTTGGATTTACGTGGGGCTCAATATGTGGCCCGCGGGTGGGATCCTTCGAACATGGCCTCCACTGGGAACACACTCCACAACAGCAAGGCATCTCCCAGGCAAGGTGAGCACTGAAAGATGTAAGCGGACGGGCTGGCTGGAACAGACAGGTACAGGGTGTCAGTGTTTCTAGACCCCAGGGAGGAGGTGCCAGGAGCGCTGGGGCATTGTGGGAAGTACTGGCTGCTTAGCCTTGTGGGCAGAGCCTGAGAGGTGCTGACTGGCTTATACTGGCCACGTTTGGGTCTAGCGCCACAGTTTAATGCTTAATCTTTGTATTCATGCCCATTAGTGTGAAAGAAGCTAGTTGCATATATTTACATATATATTTGCATGTATATGCAACCACACTTAAGTTGCGGCCCTCGGCATATGCTCTGAGTATCATTATGGCCCCCGGGGCTTCCAAAGTTGAGTATATACTCGATCATAAGCCCGTTTGTTCATGAGCCGACCCTTCCCCAAGTTAAAAAAAAGTTGTAAAAATCACAATGACCCATTCATAAGCGAAATATATATTGGCAGTTTGCAAACTTCCGGTCAGCATAAGCCACTGGCACATTGGAACTTTTTGTTTACGTGGAGCATCTGCAGGCACAGAACTTCTCAGCTCCAATTGGTTGCTGTTCACTGTTTCCAGCCAATGGGAGCTGCGGGAAGCAGCACAGGCCCAGGGACATGCTGATTGCCACTTTCCATCACTCCCGTTGACCCGGAATAGTGAACAGCAGCCACTGGGAGCTGAGCGACTCTATGCCTACAAACACTCCAGGTACATAAAAGATCCTGGCATGCCAGTGGTTTGCCCTGCTGTGTTTGGAACTGGTTTGCTGAAACTCCCCAAGTTAAAAAAATTGGTGAAACACAACAACCCATTCATAAGCTGACCCCCACTCTTTACTGTATAATTTTTTACCAAATATTAGGCTTATGATCGAGTATATCAGGATCAAAGTCTGGCCTCAGTTATACACTGTTGATGTCAATATTATTATACATTTCTAGACAAACATTTTCTATTACAATAATTGCTGCTTTCTAGTTATAATGACATTTTACAGGAAGATGTGTGATGTTTCTATCTATAGAACAAAATTTTTGTATCTCACTCTCTTATAACCTCAATATAATATTCACTCCAACCTCCTATTTGGAATATGTTTAGAATTCAAAGTTTGATCCTTATTAGTTGAGATCAGAAAATCAATATCCAAGGCCAGACTGAGTCTGCCCAGTGGTACTGCAGCCCCTGTTCTCATCTGAGCTTGCTGGCAGCACTCTCTGGGACACAGACTACTCCAAAAGGGAGTGAGTTATGAAATCACTGTTCTTCCCTGTTACACACATCTCAGCTCCTACTCCTGCATTGCCCTGGAGAGCTGAGCTGGCTATGGAGAGAAGAACATACTCCACATTCCTTGAGAGATGTGCTGCAGTTTCATTCACTGTGAATGCCCGATGGCTGGGACAGGCAGCTCCATAACACCCCATGCTCATGGATGTGTTTAAAGGCTCAGACAGGTCCACAATCAGCCAAAATTCTCCTCTGAGCCATGTCCAGGCGATGCCATGAAAGTCAGAGAAGAGTTTATGAAAAGGATTTTACCCCTTTAAAATCCATACTGTTCCATGGATATGCATGAGAGCAGAGCATGGCCACTATATATGCAACTGTGTCTGCTGACCAAAAACTCTTCAATGCATTTCATATTATCAGAGAATCACAGAAGTGTAGGACTAGAAGGGACCTCAATGTGTCATCTAGACTAGAAGGGACCTCAATGAGCGGATCAAGTGTGACTACAGGGCTTTGGGAGTACGGGTGAAGGAGTTTGGAGCGCAGGTGGTATTCTCTTCTATCCTTCCTGTCAAAGGTAGGGGCCCGGGCAGAGAGAGGTGCATCCTGGAGGTGAATGCCTGGCTGCGACGATGGTGTCGCCAGGAGGGATTCGGCTTCCTTGATCACGGGGTGCTCTTCCAGGAAGGACTGCTTGGCGGAGATGGAGTTCACCTTTCCAGGAGCGGGAAGGCCTTGTTTGGACACAGACTGGCTAACCTTGTGAGGAGGGCTTTAAACTAGGTTCGACGGGGGCAGGTGAACTAAGCCCACAGGTAAGTGCTGCATGTGCGGGACTGGGAGATGGGTTGGAAATGGGGGGGACTACGGCCTATAATGGGAAGGAGAAAGGAGGTCAGGGCACAACAGGGAGGCAAGATCAAATCAGTATCTTAGATGCCTATATACAAATGCGAGAAGTATGGGTAATAAGCAGGAAGAACTGGAATTGCTAACCAATAAATACAACTATGATATCATTGGTATTACAGAAACCTGGTGGGATGGGACGCACGATTGGAATGTTGGTATGGAAGGGTACGGCTTGCTCAGGAAGGACAGACGGGAAAAAAGGGAGGAGGGGTTGCCTTGTATATTAAAAATGTACACACATTAAAAATGTACACATGTCTCGCATGATATTCTTATTGATAAACTAGGCAAATATAACTTAGATAGGGCCACGATAAGGTGGGTGCATAATTGGCTGGGTAACCGTAGTCAGAGAGTTGTTGTTAACGGTTCTAAATCCTGCTGGAAAGGGATAACAAGTGGAGTTCCTCAAGGGTCTGTTTTGGGACCCGTACTGTTCAATATCTTCATCAATGATGTAGATATTGGGATAGAGAGTACGCTTATTAAGTTTGCAGATGATACCAAACTGGGTGAGGTTGCAACTTCTTTGGAGGATAGGGACATAATTCAAAATGACCGTAGCAAGTTAGAGAAATGGTCAGAGGTAAACAGGATGAGGTTTAATAAAGAGAAATGCAAAGTGCTCCACTTAGGAAGGAACAATCAGTTCCATACATACAAGATGGGAAGCGACTGTCTAGGAAGGAGCATGGCGGAAAGGGATCTAGGGGTCATAGTGGACCACAAGTTGAATATGAGTCAACAGTGTGATGCTGTTGCAAAAAAAGCAAATATGATTCTAGGTTGTATCAACAGGTGTGTTGTAAGCAAAACTCGTGAAGTCATTCTGCCGCTCTACTCTGCACTAGTTAGGCCTCAGCTGGAGTACTGTGTCCAGTTCTGGGCGCCACATTTCAAGAAAGATGTGGAGAAATTGGAAAGGGTACAGAGAAGAGCGACAAGAATGATTAAAGGTTTAGAGAACATGACCTATGAAGCCAGGCTTCATGAACTGGGCTTGTTTAGTTTGGAAAAAAGAAGATTAAGGGGGGACATGATAGCGGTTTTCAAATATCTAAAAGGGTGTCACAAGGAGGAAGGAGAAAATTTGTTCCTCTTGGTTTCTGAGGACAGGACAAGGAGTAATGGGCTTAAAGTGCAGCAGGGGAGGTTTAGATTGGACATTAGGAAAAAATTCCTAACTGTCAGGGTGGTCAAATATTGGAATAAATTGCCAAGGGAGGTGGTGGAATCTCCCTCTCTGGAGATATTTAAGAACAGGTTAGATAGACATCTGTCAGGGATGGTGTAGACGGAGCTTGATCCTGCCTTGAGGGCGGGGGGCTGGACTCGATGCCCTCTCGAGGTCCCTTCCAGTCCTATTATTCTATGATTCTATGATTCTATCTAGTCCAGTCTCCTGCTCTCAAGACAGGACTGTGTAATAAACAGGTATCTGACAGGTGTTTGTCTACCCTGTTCTTTAAAACCTCCAATGACAGAGATTCCACAGCCTCCCTAGGCAATTTATTTTTAGTGCTTAACCAACCTGACATTTAGGAAGTTTTTCCTAATGTCCTATCTAAACCTCCCTGGCTGCAATTTGTGAACACTGCTTGTTGCTCTATTCTCAGAGGCTAAACAGAACAGTTTTTATCCCTCCTCCATGTAGCAACCTTTTGTATACTTTTAGCATGTTGCCCCTCAGTCATCTTCTCCAGATTAACAAATCCAATTTCATCATTTTCCCTCACAGGTCATGTTTTCTAGACATTTAATCATTTTTGTTGCTCTCCTCTGGACTGTCTCTAGTTTCTCCACATCTTTCCTGAAATGTAGTGCCTAGAATTGGACACAATACTTCAGCTGAGGCCCTATCCATGTGTAGCAGAGGGGAAGAATTACTTCACATGTCTTACTTACAATGCTCCTGCTAACACATCCCAGAATGATGTTCACTTTGGTCCACTGTCACCTCTAGGTCCCTTTCACACAGCACTCCTTCCTGGGCAGCCATTTCCTATTTTGTACTTTGTGTTTCATCCTACTTACTTCAGGCCATTCCTCTAGTTTGTCTAGATCATTTTGAATTTTAATCCTACCCTCCAAAATACTTGTAGCCCCCCGAGCTTGGTATTATCCACAAACTATATACATGTATGTTCTATGCCATTATCCAAATGTTATGTTAGTTCTTTGTGATGTGAAGGAATAACTATCCAGCTTTGAATTCCACTCACACTCCAGTTAGGAGTTTGGGTTGAAGTTCAAACCAGTAACCACAAGCATGAACTGTGAGACTCTTATTCTTCTTAACAAAAAACAGAACGTAGATACAGTGTACACTAGACAATTTGTGCAAAATTTCCATTAAAAGATGAAACACAGTGCTAGTGAAATACAAGGAAACCATTACAGCTAGGCCCAAAAGGACTGACCTTATCCGAAGCTAGGATTCTGAAAGAAGCTATGACTTGCTCAGCCGTGTCTGTGTCCGCAGTCTCTCTGGTCATGAAGTCAATGAAAGACTGGAAAGAGACGGTTCCCTGCCCATTGGGATCAACCAAAGACATAATTCGGGCAAATTCTGCCTCACCCTTTGACAAAATTCAAAAGGAAAAACAAAGTCACTGTATCTCTGTGACATACTACTGAAGACAGGGTAAAAATTATAAAAATAATTATGTGACTCAAAAACCTAAGTTTCATTTTCAAAAATGACATAGGGGTCTAAATGTGACTTAGGAACAAAAGTGCCAACATGACTTTAGAAAATGGGATTTGGGCTCTTTTGAAAATATTAGCATTTGTCCTAAAAGCATGGTATGTGCCCTTCAATTAACATTCTGCTTCCTGAAATGTTTTCTACACTAAATCTAATTTATAACAGATCATTATGGTGTGATATAGTTTAGAGTTAATCCTTTATTTAAAAATCTCTCTGGATTCAGCGATCTATCAAGTGCCTTTGTTTACTACTAGCTCAGTCCTGTAAAGAGCTGAGCACTCTCCCTTCAGTCCAGCAAAGCATTTATGCCGAGTGGGCTTAACTTAACTGTGTTGAGTTCTCGGCCTTGACCGGGGTTAGTGCAACTGCATGGGAGACAGTTCCGCAGTCTTTCATCTCACAGATGGAGCGAAAGGTCTGTTTATTTCATTTCTCTTTCTTTGTACAACAAAACTAGTCCCCAGAGTTTAACTTTCTTTTTATAATTAATTAATATCACTTCTTGCACTACCACAAGAAACCTGTTATGCTCTATTTGGGACAACGTTGAAGAGGAATGGTTAAACATATTCAAAAGTAGTGAAGACATTTATATTCTTATTAAATTTGGAAAGTGCCCCCTTGCACATTTTTTTTTCAAACAGAATCTGAATTTGGGGGCTATATGGATCATTCACTTCATTTTAAACATTTATATCATGTTAAATTCTTCTCTATGTCATACTAGTTTTTCTCTTCTGTTCAAAGATATCTTAAATTCATATGTTCAAAGAATAATTTGATACCATCATCTGTTCTAAATCTGATCTTAGTTCCACTGAAATCTATAGGAAAAAAATTGATGGGCCCCTGCATCGAAAAGGGTGACATTGAAAAGGGTTGACTCACAGACAGCAGCTTGTAGGACTGGGGCCTGTATTAAAAATGAGCATATTCTTGTTATTAGGGTATCTACATTTGGCAGTTATTGACAGTTATTAAAATTATCTCCCTAATCCATGGCAATGATTGCATTTATTCTGAAGATTTTTTCAGGAAAAAGTGTATGAAAAATGTAGAAATTATAAAGAAACAAATAAAACAAACACACACATAAATAAATAAATCTCAACCTTGCAATATGTTTTCAAGAATTAGGAGTATTAAAAAGCTTCAGAATAATTCTTTTTCATGCAGACAGAAAGCTAATTTATACACCTATAAACTGAAAGGAATTAATTGTACATTTATTTGATACAATGTACATGTCATGGAATAGTACACTTCATATCAAAGTTACATGCAACAAACCATAAAATTAGGGCTACCAGGTAGCTTCAGAAAAAATACTAGACACACTTGATTGGGGGGAGGGAAGGGACCAGCCGGGAGAGGAGTGGGGCTGGCTGGGATATGTGGGGGATGGGAAGCAGGGCTGGTGGGAGGGAGGTTGGGGGCAGTGTGGCTGGCCGGGGAAGATGGGGAGCTGGCAGGAAGCAAACCTGATCGGGGTGGGAGCCGGGGGCAGCAAGGCTGACCATGGGAAATCAGGAGGAGGAACTGGCTGGCGGGGGGCAGAGAGAGGGAATTGGCCAGTGGGGAGCCAGATTCATCCGGGCGCGTGCAGATCCCAGGGTAGAAAGACTTGAAAATCCCGTTTTATGACAGGCTAATTGGCTAGTAATCTAATAATCTTCAGTAGCAGTCCATTTCAAGCAATAGATACAACACGCTACTTTTTAGTACATTCTGTCATCAAAATTCTTTCATACTTGAATTACTCAGTTTTCCAGAATTGCAGGTTTTTGCACTCGCCCCATAAAAACAGTCATTTATTTTAAAAAGGGCATTGCTGATATTTACAGCTCTTCATTGTTCTGGCCTTGGGAAACTCAGGTGACCTCTTGACATTTGCATACATCAGTTAGGTCTCCAAAGTCTATCCATGCAGAGCATCCAGCAGCTCAGATGTAATGTCAAGATCTTTGGGTCATGAGTTTTAGATGTAGAAACTCTTGAATTTGTAACTCTGCCTTGTTTGGTCAAAGGGAATTCGCTTGCTGGATTGTAAAGCAACTTTAGATGCATTATGTAAGAGTGCAAATATTACTCTATTGAAACTGGAGTAGATTAAGACTTAAGATTCAAACATTGGAAACATCTTACATGTCTCTCTCTCTCTATTGTGCCTATTGGAATCCATGAGGTGGATGGGCGTTAGCTCATTCACAATTAAAGGACCTCCCCCCAGCCTATGAGGAGGGTCCACTGAGCCCAAGAAACCAAGTAATTACTTGAGACAAATAAAAGGAAAACAGGGACGGGTGTGAGTGTCAAAGGACTAAAACAAGGGAACCGGATGGGAACATCGAGCAGAGAACCCCGGGCAGTGCCCACTGCCCCGCAAAGGTCTCGAGAGAGCAAGTGGACGCCGCCCAGTGGAACTCTGCCCAGATATGTGAGCGGATGCAAGAACGGAAATAGGCCCCACAGTCTCAGCCCCTCCCCCCCTCGGCCAACCTCTGCTCCCTGGTCTTATAAATTACCATCTTGGCGATAGCCAGGAGGAAATTGACCTGCAACTTTGTGGGGCCTTGGATGGGGTGTGCATAAATTAACAGGTGAGGGGAGAAGTGCATCCAGAACCTCAACAAAAGGTTATGGAGGAGCCGAAAGAGGGGCTGTAACCTAGCGCACCCAAGGGACACGTGCGCCAGGTTCTCCCTCTCGCCACAGAAGGGGCAAGTGTCGGGAAATGGGGTGAACGCCCGTACTCAAGTTCTGTGCAGGATTCTCCAGCTGATGTCTCCAGTGGGCTGCGGAACCAAGGTGGAATAGAGACTGTCCCACCGGGGCTCCCCACCTTCCATTGGTGGTAGGAGGTCCCGCCACTTGGTGTCTGGGCGGGACACGAGGGTGGGGAAGTGGAGCGTGTGAAGCACAAGCGTGTACAGGTGACTCTTTGGCACGGTTTGGAAGGGGACCGGCTGCAACGCATGCAGCTGGCTCAGGTGACAAGGGGGAAGCGGTCGGGGAGGTACGCAGGGCTTAAGGCCAATGGATAGATCGGGCGGGCCGGGGGCGAGGGGCAGGTTGGGTGCACCCTCTCGCAGGACCTTGTCGAGATAAATCCGAGCAGTGGACAGCAAAGCGTCCTTTACCTCCTAAAGCACGTGCCAGGGAGTACCTACGGTGGAGAGCCCCATGCGCTGGGCAAGCACCCGAGGATCCACCCAGTCTCCCCGGTCGTAGTCCAGGAGGTCTCCGATCCTTGTGACTTCTGCCAGGACCAGCATCCAGCGCACCGAGGGGGACTCCGCCGCCTACACACGTAGATGAGGATTGTGTAGCAGGGGCTCCGCAAGGAGGTCTGCCCCCACGGTGGCTCCCAAGGACCTCGTCACCTCTAGCAGCTTCCAGGCCCGGAGGAGGTCCTGGTAGAAAGCCAGCAGCTCGGAGAGGTCTCGCGGAAGACCTCTCAAATAAAGGAGCTGCCGATCATATCGGACTTGCGCCAGCATACTCCACGCTGGATTACCTGCATCAAATAGGATCCATTGCAGGGCCTGGAGGTGGAGGACACGAACCCACGTGCTCAAACATGTCAGGCCCTGCCCTCCCTCCTCCAGGGGAAGATGGAGAACCCCTGCAGAGACTCAATGCAGTCCTGGTCAGAAGAACTGCAGCAGCAGCTGCTGGATCTGATCCAGGAAACCCGGGGGCAGGACCAGGGTGCTGAGACAGTGCTGACTATCGGGAGTTCATTCCAGAGGACTCTATGGGCGTTGGCATCGGTCGGATCCGGCAAGAAAAGGGAGGCGTAGAAGGTGCGAGCTCTCTCGTGCATCTCCACCGGATCCGAGAGGGGGGCGCCATCCTCCGCCAGAAGGCAGACGATGTGCTTTTTCGCCCCTCCTCTTTTTCTCCAGGGCATAGAAGAAGCAGGAGCCAAAATCCATCTCCCGCGGATGTGAGAACAAAGGCACCCCGGGCCCAAAGGTAGTTAAGGGCCTGGGCCCGAAGGTCGTTGAGGGCCCAAAGTTCCTCCCGCTTCTCCCAGTACGTTGCGCAGAGGGATAGATTTCTGGGGCCGGTGGCCAACTGCCTCTCTAGTTCTAAAACCTCCCGTTCCAACTGCTCTATCACCGCATCCGTCCACCAGCTGGCCCCCTGGGTGTAGTTGCGGCAGAAGAGCCGCGTGCGCACCTTCCTCATATCCCACCACCGCCGTGCTGAGGGAAAGGCCCCCCGCCACCCCTGCCAGGCCAGCCAGAACTCCTGGAAGGACGCTACAAAGCCCACGTCCTCCAGCAGGCTGTTGTTAAAATGCCAATAGGCTGGCCCTGGCCTTTCCGAGGAGAGAGAGGCTGTCACGGCCACTAAGTGGTGGTCTGAGAACGGGGCCGGCCGAATGCTGGAGGAGTGGGCTCGAAAAAGATGATGACGTGGGAGATAAATGCAGTCCAACCAGGAAGGAAACAACTGTTGACCCTTCACCCGGACGAAGGTAAACGCTGCATCCTTGCCCGGGTGGAGGTCACGCCAGACGTCCACCAGGAAGTGTTGGTCTACAATCTCCCTGAGGACATCCGTGGCGGCCGGCACCGCTCAGTCCCCGTGCAGTCCTGTTCAAATCCCCACCCAGGACCAAGCACTCGTGAGGATCTAAAGAGCCGAGGAAGGCAGCAGCCCACTGGCAGAAGCGAAGCCTCTCCAGGTTGGATGTTGGGGCATAGATGTTAATGAGATTTAATGTTAGCCCCACTACCTGGGCCCGGAGGTGCAACTGGTGGCCTTGCACAACCTCGGCAGTCCCCAGCACCTTGGGCCGCAGCTTTGGGGAGAACAGGGTTGCCACCCCGGCTTGATTGGCCGACAGGTGGCTGAAGTACACCCTGTCTCTGCACTCTAGCCGCCAGCTTGCTTTGGCGGCTGATGTGGTATTGGTCTCC